TGTTCGATCATTCCAAAGTAGGTTTTATTCCTTGAATGAAATGGTACCTGTATTTTTCCTTTGGAATGAATGCATAGGCGATCGGATATCGCAGCTGCCGTGGAGACGGCCCAGCATGAGCCTGAAGGGATGTGACATCAGTCTTCCATCCATAACACCTCAGAAACATACCTGTCGGATCCTTGACTAAGCGCTACGTACCACAGTTTGCTTGGTCACGGATGTAAAAGAGTGACGTGCAATTGGCCCACACTTTTCGACCATCAAAGCTGTAAATGCGGTTATGACAGAAACAGGTACAGGCCGGAGTGACCCTTTCTTAGAACTAACATGGACCAGTCACATTTATGAAACATATTCCCTAAAAAGGGCCAGTTTTGTTCCGTCAAACATATGTGGACTCATAGGCCTGGTACCCAGGACTAGTGGCAATGCGAGCGCTCGTGCTCTCATCGTGTGCAGCCCCAGGTCTGTAATGTGCAGGTTTAGAGCGCCCATGAGGGTTTGGGGTGCTCCTTCCTAACCCCAGGAAGCTTGGTGAGCAGGAGTTGAAATAACTATTCACGCCATTCCTCGACTTCAGTTTTGTGTAGCAGTTTTGCGCAATTCGGCTTGGGGGGGGAATCGAGTGAAACTCCGCGAAGCTTGTAGGCTGCATTGTGAAGACCGGTGAATTTCTGTGACAGGATTGGCCCATTTTGTACTACTTTGCGCCTTCAAAAGAGTTTGAAGGTTTAACTCAATTGAAATGTGTTACTTCACATAAACTAGCAAAAGGGACCAGCAAAAGTGCAAAATACCCACCCTCTTAAGCCAAAGAGCGCCGTGACCTATTTTGCATGTTCAAGTGAGAAGATAGCCCAATAGGCAAAGAATCGCAATTCTTCAAGCAGTAGACCTTACTTGAACCTCAGTTCTTTTAGAGTTGCCCAACCAGCTTTGAAAATGAGTTCACCACTACAAATGGTTCGTCCTTTAATCAATTGATTTTGAATAGAATTCAAAAGACAAATTCCAAAAGAGTAGTTGCAGCAAATCTTCCTCTTCATTTACTTTTCAGCAGCCTGAACTGGACCGCAACTTAGGTCTCACAAAGAATCTGAAAGATTTTTTAAGGACGCGTGAGCGGCTGACAAACCTTTCCGGGATGTCCTCGCCGTTGTCGTGCGGGTCATCGACAACAGGGTTCTTGTTCTGATTGATGAACTTCAAATCCATTAACCTACTTCTGAAGTTATGACTATTTGGTGTTATTTCAACCTGCAATTGAGCAATGGCTTCTCAGCCTTCTCTAGGCGACGGCCCTTTTTGTTCACGTTCGTGCCATGTGTACCATGATCGCTGGCTCATAGTGTGAAATGCTATAGATGTCTAACACTC